CATATTGTCAATTCCTGTCGTCTTGCTTTTCCCCCAATACCTTCAGTGTAAATTGGATTTCTTCCTTCAGTACTATTGATTCTTGATCACATACTATATCCTGAAATAATGGAACATTAATTTTTTTTTTTTTTGGTACAGTGACTGTGTATTTTTTCTATCTTCTTTCAATGCTTCTCTACGAGTTCAACATTTTTTCCATAGGATCCTTCAATAGTTCAACTCAAAGTGTGTATTTTTTCTTCTTTTGGCATTTTAACTCCAGATTCTTAACACATTTCATTTTAATTCTTGACTTTGTCTTCTTGAGCCACCCTTTGAAATCTTCTTATTTTACTTCATCATTTCTTCCATTTGCTTTAGCTATTCTACCTTCAAGAGCAAGTTACAAAGTCTCTTCTGCCATCCATTGTGGTCTTTTTTTTTAATGACCATTTGCTTTCTTCATGAATGATGTTCTTGATGCCACTCCTTCAACTCTCTGGTCTACAGCCAGAGATGTTTGACACATCAAATGTATTTCTGATATGCTCTCAAAATTCAGGTGGAATACACTTAAGACCAGAGTCCTGGTGTGTCACTGTGGATTAATGCAATGGACTGTAACGTCAGTTTGAACCACAAGGTCAGTGGTTCAAACTCACCAGTCTCTCCTCAGAAACCCTGTATAGGGTCACTATGGGTCAGAACCAACTCGACAGCACTTAACAACAACATACTAAAGGTCATACTTTGGCTCTTGTAAACCTGTTTTAATTTTCTTCAACTTCAAATTCAACTGACATATGAACAATTGATGAGCAATGCTGCAGTCAGCCCCTGCCCTTGTTCTAATGATACACTGTTTCTCCATTGTCTCTTTCCACAGACGTAGTTGATTTGATTCTTGTGTATGCTATATATCAAGGTCCATGTGTAAAAAAGTTAAGACTACGTTGTTGTTCTTACAAAATTTTTCATGTGATCCCCCACATTGTTTCTATTACCAAGGCCACATTTTTAATCAGCTGATCCTTATTTCTTTCTTTCTAGCTTCTACATTCCAATCACCAATAATTATGAATGCATCTTAACATACTGAGGCAAACTATCTGCTTATTCCAGAAGCCAATGTGGAGTTTACAGTAACTGAAAACTCAGCCTCTATTAAGAGTCTGGAGTCCTTTGTGGTGCTGTTAAGATAAGCACTGGACCAAAAGGTCAGTTTAAAATGTGAGGTCAGCAGTTCAAACTCACCAGCCACTCCTTGGACACCCTGTACGGGGTAGCTATGAGTCAGAAGTGACTCAATGGCACTTAAAAACAACAACACAAC